GAAGCACGCTCCTCACGAGTATCATTTTATGTCCCACAGTCCAGTCTAATCTTTGAAGAGCTGGCCTTGGGACTGGTTTTAGTTTTGGGCTAACAGAGAGTCTGGGGGCCATGTCTTCCGGGGTCCCTCCAATCTCAATCAAACCATTAAGTCTCATCTTTTTACTGGAATTTGACTTCTGCACCCCACCTCTCTCCTGCTCCATCAGGGACTCTCTGTTGTGTTCCCTGTCAGGGTGGTCACTATGGTAGCCGGGTACCGCCTAGTTCTTCTGGTTTTAGGCTGATGAAGTCTCTGGTTTATGTGGCCCTTTCTGTCTCTTGGGCTAATACTTTCTTTGTGTATATTCAACATATTTATTCAAGAAATAATTATTCATTTATTATGTGCCAAGGATTCCCTAGGGTTTAAAGTGGAAAACAGGTCTGACAGGGTCCTTGCCTTCAAGGAATCATACTGTAACTTCCGAAGCACTTTTGCCTACATTATATCTAATTTGATCCTTGATGGTACATATTGCTTCATAGATGAGGAAGTGACTTGCCCAAGCATGGCTAGCAACTGGAAAAACCAGGGTTAGAAACAAAGTAATATAAGCCCCAATCTAGTGTTTTGAACTAAACATTTGCAGACAATTTTTCAAAGCCAAGCTAATTTCTTATACCTTTGGTCTTGCCAGAAAGTAACTGTAAATGCTGAAAATGGAGTAACAATGAAAATATTATATCTATAATCACATTTCACACAAGTATTAGTGAGTTTAAGATGCAGTCAATTCCAATTTGTTCATGATATTCTTATCATGTACTACTTTAGTCAAGGCACAAGATTTTTCTGTAGGAAAATGATGGAATAGTAAGAGTTCATAATGATTTTTTAATTATGAAAAATAACTGGCAAGAAAACTTATGAGAAAATCATTATTTAACTCAGGAGCACCTAAAGGATTTATATTGTCAACTTTGGAGGAGATGGAACTCAATTTCTAAAACTGTTTATTTTTAAAGAAAAAATTAACTTTTCAAAAATTTCTTAGCATTGACCATATAGATTTATTTGAGCAAAGTTTACATGCAGTGAAAGAATCTAAGTAAGTATGTTTTTAGTCTAATGTATTAGAAAAAACACTGTGATATGTCTAGGATACTACATATTAAAAAAAAAATTTAGACTCTGCACGTATATTCTATTTCTTAGATCTCTTTTTATAACATTAATGTATATGCCAATCAACATCTCAACTGAAATCTAGAATAAAAGTTAATCCTACACTTTATTTAAATTCTTACTGGATGGTAAAAGCTAAACGTTTGAATTGTGATGAGGTGCAAAGAAAGCTTATCTTGTTCAATTACTGCATCTTCTCACAGCTAGCAATTCAACTATAAATGTATTTGTCAGGGAAGCATTCGATTTATTACAGTATGCCACAAGCTAGGATTACAAAAAAAAAAATCACCATGTCAGGACTAGCGGTGTTTGCACACCTTTCTAATTCTGAAGGCTGGCACCCTGCAATCACAGTTTCCTAACTAAAACATTGTCACTCACACTGCTCTGACAGTAGGCAGACAGCTGGAGTCAAGGCCATGTGGGACATTTACAAGAGATCAACCTCGGTGCTCATAAAAAAATAACTGTAAAATTGTATGCATTCCTACCTAGTTAGCAGGACTGGAATATCTGGAAGATGTTTAACAAAATTTAGTCCTAAATAATATCTTAGTATAATGCTTATTTGGAAGAAATACAGCCAGAATGCTCCTTAGAAGCAAGGATGGCAAGACTATGTCTCACATACTTTGCACATGCTATCAAGAAGGACCAGTCCTGGAGAAGGACATCATGATTGGTAAAGTAGAGGGTCAGCGAAAAAGAGGAAGACCCTTAAGGAGATGGCTGTAACAATGGGCTCAAGCATAACAACAATTGTGAGGATGGTGCAGGACTGGGCAGTGTTTCGTTTTGTTGTACATCGGGTCGCTATGAGTTGGAACAGACTTACAAGCACCTAACAACAACAAATATGCTTATTTAAGTACTCCAAATTTGTATAATTCCATCTTAATTATAAAACTTCTA